ATTCAGACTGAAAGTAACGTCAAATTCGAATCTCCTGGGTCGATATACCGGGGTACACCAAATTTCATAAAAATCTGCCGACAAATAAGTGCTTCACAGTTTTTTTCTTGGAATCTTTAGCTGCGATAGTCTAAACAGTGAACGGATCAGATAAGCCGCCCCCCCCCCCCGGTCGACCATCCCTCTAAGGTGCTTCTCCCTTTACTATGTACCATGACTATCAAATTAATAACAAAATTTATTTCCAAAATAGTCGAATATGCGTGAGAAAGGTTCACACTGGTCGAAATTCCAGCCAAAATTTACAAAAAGTAAAAAATGTCAAATTTGACACCATTCAATAAAGGCCCTATAAAGGTCTTTTACCTTCAGTTAAATTTTGATGTTATATGTGTTTTCAAAAGAAAATGTCACGCTCTTTCCATTGGTACCAACAGGTTTGAGAGAAAAAATTCTGTCAAAGCTGTATCTTAAAAGTTACAAACCAAACTTGAAATTTCAAGAAAATTCTAGCCTTTTTTTCGGCATCTGACCTCGTAGCTCGGCACCAACAAGTCAAAATTAAAGAAAAACTAATATATATTCGTGAGTAGAATTTTATACTCTGAAAAAACGACAAGAATGATTTTTTTCACTGGATGCACTAGAATCACGCAAAATCGGGAAAACGGTGACGAGGTCAACAATCAATTTATGCGTTATTTCAGTCGGCCGCCATTTTGTTATAAGCAATTTTGACTGTGTTCCCGAGGGGGGCTAATAGTAAACTTTTTTTGGGGGGCTCTAGACATGTTTTGGAGCGCTTTAAAACGCAAGAGAAGTTTGTGCTAATTTGTCCGAGGTTAGGCCCTTTTTTTGGCTAGAATGACTGGACTAATCTTGGATTTCGAATTTTAAAAATTCGACTACAAATTCGAGTTCCTCATTGAAAAGTACCCCCCGGTATCAAGCTTCACTTAAATCGGTAGAAAAGAGCGCCTACAGCTGGGCTTAAACAAGCAAGTCTCAGTTGTAACAGTTTTCCACCACTAAACTGGGACACTGGGACAGGATAGAAACATATCGACGGTGTAAGTCGGCAATCACATAACTCGTTTGCGGTGTCTGAAAATCTCCGCCTCTATATTAATTTTTTAAAGGTGAACAAATTGACATTATTCCTTGAAGTTTATGCAGAATTTTCTTCACACAGAAAAGAAAAATCACGCCAGTTTTAAAGAATTGCCGTTGAGTAGTTTTCCGTTTAAAAAATAAAGTATGACAGGAAGTCTGCGACGTCGCAAACAGAGTTATGTGATTGCTGACTTGCACCGTCGATATGGGACCGAATGGAACGGGACAGGATGGAAATAAGCTGTTTTTTAAGCTTATCTGTAACAGTAAAGACAATTTTGGTGTTTTTTTTTTCAAAGAATATTTAGTAACACATCCTAGAGTATCGGAATAAGAAAACATTTTCCCCAACGCACACCTCGAAAGTATTTTACGAGCCGATATTAGTGTGTGGTGTGTGTGAGGGTGGATGTGTGTGTGGGGGTGTGTGTGTGTGTGTGTGTATGCTTGACGCCCTGTTAGTTATCGTGCAAGTATAGCATTTTGTTTGGCATCATTAATGGCGTTAATCTTGCACAAAAATTTGCGAATTTTAGAATTTTTGCCATCTGTGACGTGTGAACTATTCAATCGACACAAAAAAGTCGTTTTTGGAAAAACCTCAACGTTACGGTAATCATTTAGAACTTGTTACATCGTTGCCATGTCTCTCCTGACTGTTGTTCGGGACAATGATTCTAGCTCGTGAAAAAGTTATTGATGAAGCAAAAAAGAAACTGACCTATTTTATTTTCTCAAATTCAAAAGCATTACCTGTCATCTCCGATAAAATTTTTTCAAGTAATCACTCTAGTTTTGCTGCAACATTGATTTAAAGTCAAGAACCAGGCACGGGGGACACGCAAATTTGGGACAAATGTAGGCAATTTGCACATTCAAAGTTCTCCTAAATTTTTATTTCAGTCCAATTAAAGTGGAAAGTAGCATGTAATAGTCAACAACAGTGTGGAAAATGAGAAAAAAATTTGATCTGCCCATATTTCTCAGATTATGACGATTAAAACAGCTCGGGACACCAGATTAGACGCTTATTTGAATTCACCCAGGTACGTTATCCGTATGTAGATATATAATACAATTCAATGAAATAAGCAGGAATTACAGTATTATCGGTCCACCTTACGTTAGAAGTACAGTACCTAAAGAAAGAGTAGTGATTAGTAAATTAAATGATCCTTGTAGACCGATAGAATTGAAGGAGCCGTCTTTATTCGAATTTTCCACCATGTTTTTTGGTGGGCGTCAAACTGTCACCGCACTCGTCATCGACAAGAGAGGGTTTTTGTTGCGACATTCGTGTCGCAGCTGTATTGAGCAATTTTCCTGCAGATGGATGGCCTTCCAATTCATCAGTGTCACTGTTAGATTATTTTGCATCTGGATTTTGTTGTGAAAAGTTTTGATAGCTCAATGAAAGATTTATTTGCTAATTCAATGAAGTAAGTATATCGACGGTGCAAGTCATTTTGAATAATATTCTCGTCTGTCAGGAGAAATGACCGAAAAACCGAGTTATGTGTTTGTGGAAGTAAGGTCCAACACCGAATTCCGAGATACGTGATTGGCGAATTACTGATTCAAACCTATTCTTTGCCGATGTTGACTGAATAAAGACGGAATAAGACTATCCTCTCACTTTAAAAGTAGCCTAAAGTTCCTTTTAACAAACTTTAATTGGTAGCGAATCTTTAGAGTGACACTGGAAAACGATTCGACGGTGTACCTAAGTCGGCAGTCACATAACTCGGTTTACGACGTCGCAGACTTCCTGTCACACTTCATTTTTTAAACGGAAAACTACTCAACGGCAATTCTTTAAAACTGCCGTGAGTTTTCTTCTCTATGCGAGGAAAATTCTGCATAAATTGCAAGGAATGATGTCAAATGTGTCGTAGAAGCGGAGATTGTCAGACACGTCAGTTTAGTGCGGTCAGTTTGGCACTTGCTCAAAAATCCAATTTTTTAAAGATCGTTTTCCACTGACTTTTTATTTAAGCAGATGAAGGGTGAGAAGACGAGTGGAATTCATCCAATTCAGAACGTTAATTGGATTACATTTTGCAATAAGGAACCACTATTTCTGCCCCATTTTAGAAACAACATACACGCCATTGGTTTCCCTATGCAGATATGTGCTTTTATTGGAGAGCCAAAGATAGTGGTTCCTTTTTGCAAAATGTAATCCAATTGATGGTCAGGATTTGGCAGCCCGCTAAATCCTGACGTTCACTAAGCAACAAACTCATCAAATTGATGCCAAACTTAAGCTCAGGCTGATCGTGGATTTAGGCCTAAAGAAACATGGAAGGAACTACTGGAGAACCCAATCGTCGGTTCACTTCACTAGACCCTCTACCAGGCACCGCTAGTGTCGCCACTAATTGGAGTCGGGGGTCCTTATTTAATTTCTTGGTCCATGATGACGGGAGGCTCGCGGACAGGCCGGATGGTGGGGCAGGGTAGAGTACCTATATTAAGAGAGTATGGCCACTGGGTCCCATGGAGAGGCTTAGGACCCAAAAATGGCGGTGCTTTGCTTTGGTTTTTGAGGATGGGAGGGGGGTCATTGCCAACTTTTGACGGTTATCACCAACCGCACTTGCTGCCAACCTTACTACATCTAAGATCATTTTTCTCAAAAATTGCACACGATTAGCCTTAAAAATATGTAAAAAAGTCGCAATAGTGCATTTGGGTAAAGTTCTCGTTACGATAAGCAAAGACAACTACATTTTGAATCATTTTGCATTACAATAACTTTATGGCGTCCGCCATTTTTGGGTCCTAAGGGCTCCATTCAGCCTAAGATGGCTGAGCCAATCAGAGGTGGTAACTCCAGTGGCCATACTCTCTCTTAATATAGGTACTCTAGGGCAGGGATACTGCCCAACGGCCGACGGGGAAACGGGCGCCATGGCGGAGGAGGGGGGGAGAGTGTAGGGAGGCTGCCACTGCTGAGAGCGCAGCGGTCGGTGGGCTTGCATGGCGCGGCGCGCGGGAGGGGAATTTTCAGCACACATTTCTGGCACGCTGTCGGCTTTCATTAATATAAACTTCGAAGGATTCAGACTTTCAGCGATTCTACCTTTTTCTATTTCACTCGAGAGATTGCCAGATTTTGCGATGAATGTGAATATTTTACATGGATTTGGATTGGGAAAAGTGCTAAAAAGGCAACTTGTCTGGCAACAATAGAGTCCGGGAGGGAAGAGAGGCTGCCTTCCTTGGAAAACCCATGATTCATTCGGAAATGTCATTAAAACAATTGATTCCGTTTGAAGCATCAATTGTGTACGAGGGGAAAGCTATTTTAAAATAATAATTGTAAAAGGGGTCCAGGGGGTGCAGCCCCTTGGCTGGCCGTGACGGACGCGCGAAGCGCGTCCAGAACGGCTAGTATAATAGAAGTATCGTTGTGCAGATATATTAATTGTTTCTTAAAACTCTTTACTCTAACGATTTAATTCCTTTGCATTTTACACAAAAACAGTGGACATTTGGCCGCAACCATCAATAAATGAAAGGGGAGAAAAATTATCATTAAATTTCAATTATGTCATTTCCCCCAACGCCGTGCCGCCTTTACACATTAAGTCGTACCTTGGTCATTTTTAAGCTGCGTGGGTATGCATATTAGTAATGCATTAACTTACCATATCAGCATTAAGAAAACCCATCGGTTACTATAGTGCACATAAGGAGACACAATTTCAATGCATAGGCAGATATGAGGAGCTTGGTCGCATCAGGGTTTTAGCCATGGGGCTTAGAACTTGCTAAGTTCAGGAACTTCAGTTTAAAAACTTAAGTTTTAAAAAAAGGAACACACGTTGACATACATTTTCTCGTAGGTATTGACACTGATGAAGACGTCTTGACTTTTTCAGGGATGTTGCGCTTACAACAATTCTAATTAAAGCTGGTTTGGGTCTAGACCCAAAAGCTATGAGGAAGTTAAGTATGGTAGTGCTGGGTCTGTCTTTTGTCCCGTGTTTGGTTGAGGCAGCTGGAGTGGCGATCTTCGCATTTGTCATTTTAGGATTTCCCTGGGTGTGGGGATTCTCGCTTGGGTAAGTTTCTTCAAAGAACTTTCTTATTTCTCTTAGGATACAACTTGCCACGCTATTTTACTTAATACAAGAAAATGACACTTCATAGGATATTATAATATGATACTTTATACATAGTGTAGCGAGGTAATGTATGAAAAAAATGAGTTCGGCGTTGGAGCCAAGTCAGTCCGGATATCACCATTCCCGAAAAAGTAGTGCTTCATCGCCGATGAGCCCGAGAACTTCACCGGAGCCTCGCCCGGTTGCAGGATGCAGGCCATGTTGAGTCCGGACCAACTTCCCATGGTTTACAACTTCCCATGGTTTCCGGGCCATTCCTATCCCGGGCAGCCGAGGACTTTCAGCCGGCTTCGTTGGCAGCAGACTTCAACGAACCCGTTCAAAATAACCTCACTCACTCATACGGAATATCATATTCTAGGAATCCTGGTTTTGGGATCTGGGACTGACCTAGAGAAACAATAATACCTACGCCTTGTACCCCGACTGGCTCCCCAAGGTCCGCCGCACGCCATAACAGGGATGCGCACGCATGATACGCAAACAAGCCAGATGAGTTCTTTGTATTTGTCCTCGCAGTATAAAGACACGCACCACGATTGCCAAATTGTACTTAAAATCAGCCCAATTTACTTTGAGTCATTATTGGGGAAGTAGGTACTGAAGTAGAATGTGCCAAGTTACAACTCACATCCTTCAAGTTCGCGCTAAAAACATTTCGCACCTATTCGAAGCTACACATATTATATTTATGCTTTAACAGCACTTTACGTCTCCTCTACCACCCTCCCAGACAGCCCCTGGAAAACTTTATCAGTATGATTTCATACCGTTGAAATTTTATGTTATTTTTGGCTCCCGAATCTCATGTTATTTTCGGTTTGAAATCATACCGATAGGTAAAGAAATCCTCTAATTATATAAAATTGATCATATTGTTATCATACTGTTATCACGTTCGTCTCGTTCCTTAACATATTGTTCGCATACCTTCGCATACCGTTTTCATATTCACTTCACACTGTTCTTATGTTATTATCATTCTGCTTTCATAATCTATTCTTACTGTTTTAAGGTGATTCGATGGACGCCATATTTTGTGTCAGAACGGCATGCGATATAGGTATCGCATCAATTGGTTCCATTTTTTCAGCTACTCCCTAGTAGCAGAACCACAGAAGGAAAAGATAAATATTATGTACGAAAGTTAATTTTTTTTATATAATGTATGCATATAAAAGTGTTGAAAGTGAACATTTTTATGTAACCATTATATAAAAAAATGTTATAATTTTCCTGAGTTTTTCGCGAACATATTAAAAATTCTTCTAATTCCCAAAAAGCTCACGGAAATGATGACCTATTTTTTTATATAATGGTTACATAAAAATGTTCACTTTTCACACTTTCGTATGCATGCGTTATATAAAAAAATAAAAAATGTGTGTATAAAAAAAAATTATCGTATCTAGCTTTTATCATTTTTCATGTATTACGGTCAGGTCTGAACTTTGATTTTTTTTAATATAAGCGTTACACCTTCTTTATATAAAACGATCATTTAGATAACAGATATGTTTTTTTTATACTTTTTTAAGAAAAACAAACATTCGTTCTGCTACTAGGGCTCGTCATTTTTCTCCAATTTTAGGATCGCAATTCTGTTGTCAGGAGACCGAAGCACTCACCAATTTTAACAAAGAAATTCATCGTAATAAAGGCGTGGTTTTTTTAGAGAGAAAATATCGCATTCGAGTGCAGTTTCAATATCGGTATCGAATGCGATGTTTTCTCTCTTTAAAAAAACCACGCCTTTATTCCGATGAATTTCTTTGTTAAAATTGGTAAACGAGTGCTTTAGTCTCCTGACAACAGGATTGCGATCTCAAAATTGGAGAAAAATGACGAGTAGCTGAGAAAATGGAACCAATTGATGCGATACATCGCATGCCGTTCTGACACAAAAAATGGCGTCCATCGAATCGTCTTAATGCTTTTTTCATATTGAACCACCTTGTCTGCCACTTCGTATTTCTCCGCTCCGCGATCAATCCTAAACGGGCTCCCATAACTACTAGTCGGGGCGAGATTTGGTTGGACCCGGACATAATTGCAAGAAAAGGTTTTTATACATCAAAAAACGCAGAAAAATCAGCAGAATCCGAATATCTAAAGGTCGCCAAAAGGCCGCAAAAATTTCACCCCTAAATGGCCGAAAAACTGAAAAAATTCCCAAAATTTGCACGTTTTTCCTCCTAAATTCCTATCTTGCGCCAAAACTATTGGTTTTAGTGCCAAATGTTACTGGACCAAATTTTTAGAGAATAAAATTTTACTATGGAAAACCTTGTTCTGAGGATCATACGGTGACATTGGACCCCAGAAAATTGCATCATAAAAAAATTGATAGTTAACATCAATCGCGGATTTCATGAGAATGACCGATTTTCCTCTTGAACCGTTCAATTTAGAGTGAAAAGTTACTGAACAAATATTTTAGATCGTAAAATTTTACCTAAGAATCATGCAAGAAGCGCCATCGTTTGATAATTTGAAGCCTATAAATTTCATTGGAAAGGGAGGCACTGCGGACCTCAAGTTTCCCATCGCGGAGGTTAAATGTAAACAGCATATGTGATAAACTGCGGGTCCTCCTGGTGAAATTTTGCGGTAAAACAGCATTATACATGATTACAGCAGATAGAGGCACCGTCAGCACTGAATTTTTTTTCATTTATTGGACAAGGGTACGGGGAGGGGAGCAGAGAAGGAGGTCAATAATGAACGTGTAGCCGATATTCTCATGTGACGCTGTGATAGTCTGGGTATCCTAGCCGTTATACACAATTTCTCACGAGTTTTCTTCACTTTCCCTCGGAAATCGTTTTGATCATTTGGCAGATATTTAAGGCGTAGCTGCGGGATAAATTGTAGCAGGAAGCATCGGTGGACGGGGGTGAAGGGGGGGGGGATCCCTTCTGTTTCTCCGGGCCATACTAAACCTGTGCAAAGACAGAAGAAATTTACACATTTTAGGCACATGTTTGAAACCTCGTAAGTCACCCCCGTCAAATGATGCAACGATGATTAGCACGCGTTCAAAACTTCTGAACAGACCGAAACCGCGAATAGAACCGCGATAGAAATCACGGAGATTCAATGACGCAATACGCACATGTTTGAAACCTCGTAAGTCACCACCGTCAAAGGATGCAACGATGATTAGCACGTGTCCAAAACTTCTGAACAGACCGAAACCGCGAATAGAACCGCGACAGAAATCACAGAGAATCAATGACGCAATACGCACATGCTTGAAACTTCGTAAGTCATCATCGTCCGAAATTTTCAAAATTTATGGGAACGCGACTGAAAGTAACTGCTGACCATCTGCTGTGGTCATCAGTGCCTTCGACGGAAAACTGAGACGATGCTCTAAGCTTATCGTTCACCAAAATGCAAGAATGAACCTGTCTCATAGTTCGGTTTCGGGTTTTAGTAAAAAGACGTGCCTTAATATCTTGTCGTGAAAAATCGCGTATCTGTGTAAAAAATACCTCAGGAGCATGCGTTATTTTGTCATGAAGTCAATGCAGATGAGAACTCTTTGCAAAAAGCCGCATGCATCTTCCGAAACAGTCGATGGAAAAATCAAGAGCTCTCAATAGAGTTCATTCGGCCCTTTTCTATTTCCATATGCAACAAATTTCCGCAAAAAGTCCCTGGTTTTCAATCAATATCTCGTTTTTTCGGATTTTTTTAGCAAGATGTTCTTCCCAAATGCGTGGAGAATCTGGAAATTCCAACTGGAGGCACGTACAGTGGAGAGCCGACAATACTCTTGAGGAAAGGGTCACAGCAGCACTCGATGCGTATTTTGCAGCTGCGAGAAAAGCGTGCATAATGAGGGATTACCGCGGCCGCGACGCGCGGCGTCTCTTTCATTTTTAGGAGCCCTAAGGCCCAATATATTTCATGTTGGCAAACGTTCATTCTTCAGAAATCCGTCATTCCGAAACAATCGATACAGCATATTATAAGATAACCTTGAAAATAAACACATATCAACAATACTATTGTAAGAGAATGAACGTTTTGTGGAACTAAATATGGTTCTACCATGTGTCTAAGCTGTGAGGTCCAGAAGGATCCTCAGATGATCCAATTTAAATTTTGCGGAATTAATGATAACACTCCACTTCGATTCATCTACATATATTTTTGACTAGGAAGGTTACTCACTTTCATATTCTAAGATTAACTACCTGTTTTTCTTGCTCCCGGCAGACCCGGGAAAAGTTTAATCCTCGCTATAAGAATTTCACGAACAGAACAGAAAATATCGTTCAAATGTATCTTTTTGCAACGACGCATAAAAGATCTGCCAAATGATCAAAACGATTTCCGAGGGAAAGTGAAGAAAACTCGTGAGAAATTGTGTATAACGGCTAGGATACCCAGACTATCACAGCGTCACATGAGAATATCGGCTACACGTTCATTATTGACCTCCTTCTCTGCTCCCCTCCCCGTACCCTTGTCCAATAAATGAAAAAAAATTCAGTGCTGACGGTGCCTCTATCTGCTGTAATCATGTATAATGCTGTTTTACCGCAAAATTTCACCAGGAGGACCCGCAGTTTATCACATATGCTGTTTACATTTAACCTCCGCGATGGGAAACTTGAGGTCCGCAGTGCCTCCCTTTCCAATGAAATTTATAGGCTTCAAATTATCAAACGATGGCGCTTCTTGCATGATTCTTAGGTAAAATTTTACGATCTAAAATATTTGTTCAGTAACTTTTCACTCTAAATTGAACGGTTCAAGAGGAAAATCGGTCATTCTCATGAAATCCGCGATTGATGTTAACTATCAATTTTTTTATGATGCAATTTTCTGGGGTCCAATGTCACCGTATGATCCTCAGAACAAGGTTTTCCATAGTAAAATTTTATTCTCTAAAAATTTCGTCCAGTAACATTTGGCACTAAAACCAATAGTTTTGGCGCAAGATAGGAATTTAGGAGGAAGAACGTGCAAATTTTGGGAATTTTTTCAGTTTTTCGGCCATTTAGGGGTGAAATTTTTGCGGCCTTTTGGCGACCTTTAGATATTCGGATTCTGCTGATTTTTCTGCGTTTTTTGATGTATAAAAACCTTTTCTTGCAATTTTGTCTAGGTTACCCCCTTTTTTTTCGAATCTCGCCCCGACTATACGCCCGACGCGACGTTGCTTAACTCCCGTGATCGCCCGAGTGCCGCTGCCGTGGAGTTCCGGAAGCTCGCGTGTTCCGAGAGGGTAATTTAGCATTCATAAACGTCCTTAGCGACAAATCCACGATTGAATGGAACAATATTCTTGGATATTTCTATTCAGTATTGAAGAAATATAAAGAATAAAAAAATAAATTAAAATTGATAAAATAAAATAAATTAAAATTAATAAGATAAAATAAATTGATATTAATCAAATAAGCTAAATTAAAATTAATAAAATAAAATAATTTAAAATTAATAAAATAAAATTACGTAGAGAAATTATGTTAACGCATTTAAATAAGATAGTAGTAGCATATAGATCTATTCAGCTCCAAAACATGTTTTGTAGCCTATGAGGCACCTGAAAAGTGTATGTTAATAAATAAATAAATAAATAAATAAAGTAAAATAGATCAAAAAAATAAATGCAATAATAAAGAATAAAACCGGGAAGCTGAAATTCCGCCAACTGACCCTTAAAGTTGTGGAACGTGCGGGGGGCGGATGAGGGACGGAACAGAAGACCCAGGGCCGCAAAGTTAGATTTATAAACAAATTACGTAATTTTCTCTGAGGTCCCTTGGGAACACAGGGGGTTCCCTTTCCACTCTCCTGGGAGCATAGGGGATCAGCTTATTTTCATTCTACATCTTGGAGGGTAAACTGGTGGAAAATATCGATAATTGAAGTGTTCATTATCGAAATATTTGGATTAACATGTAAAAAATCGTCTTTTTTTACAATTTTTGACCTTTTTTGGCCTATTTGAATTTTTTTAGGCCCTTAACCGTCCGGTAGCAATTGAAAAAAGTATATCAACCAAAAGTATATATCCTAAGCTTGAAGTTAAAAAAAAAAAAAAAAATCTGAGAGACAGTTTTTTTGATAATTCAGTTTGAACATTGAATGGCGAAAAAACCGTAAATTTTAAAAAAGCCTAAATTACGGCCATTTAAATAATTTTTAGCTCAATTTTGATGGCATATTCAGAATCTACATGGAAAAGTGATCTAGAAACATTCTTTCAAAGTATGATGGATTGATACAGAGTCTTGCTATGGAGAGTCAAAGAGAGGGAAGTCGAGAAAATGAGAATCGCTAAAACGGGCGTTTTTGAATATCGCTAAAATTTACCCCATCTTTGGGGGTCGATATCTCGCGAACGGGGCATCGGATGGGAAAACTCTTCAAATTAGTTTCTTAGAATGATGTAAAGACCCCGTACACTAATTTTCAGCCAAATCGGAGGGGGTCTGGTTCCGAGCTTGGTTGCGTTCGTCGTGGCCCCATGACCCATCAAGTTCTTGAACGGACCCCCCTTCCCTCTCCTGAAAGAATTCCTAGCTACGCCACTGCCTCACGAAGACCTGAAGGGGCTCCGGGACAAAGAAATTTTGGACTCTCTGAAGTCAAATACCTATCATATTTTCTTTTTCCAGAGGAGCTAAGCACGTTAATTTGAGCTCAAGGAGCAACTCGTGGAGGGGGGCACCGTCGCGTCTCTCTCTAAGACTTCATCAATAGGGTAGGCCGACTTTGAATTTTCAGGGGTAAGTTTCAGTCGAAATTGTTCGTGCTTTTACATTTAGATGCAATTAATTCACAGTCCGATCGAGAACCTTCGCACTTGTAAGATAAGGACTTCCCGTTAAGCTTCTTGAAGAGAAAGAAGGGAAGGCTTTGGGCCTATGAAATTCGGATCACTTGGGGTCAATTTTCTATACAACACTCCCTAAGCCTCCTAAATCGTCCGACCTGGTACAACCGAGAATGCCGCTTTGTGGAGGTAATCCAGGACAGTGGTGGCCATTTCCCGTAAAGAATTTTGAATCCATACGAGTTTCCCCCTAATCTCAAGTTATCCACCTCCACCTCCTTACCAGGGACGGGGGTCTGGTGGGTATGAAACACCCCCAGGCGAAGGGGGTGGGGGCCTCCTCTGAAAAATTTTGATGTTGTCTGGAGCAATTTAAGGCGACAACGAACGCTCCCTCTGTTCCCTCCTTTTTTCTCTCTCTTCTTTATTTTCTTTTTCGTTTTTTTCCTCTTTTTCGGTTTTTCTTTTTTTTCTACTTTCCATTTCATTTGTCGTTTTTTTCCTTTACTTTTTTGTTTTCTTTTCTTTTTTCTCCTCCCCCCCCTTCTTTCTTTTCTTCGTCGATTGCGCGTCACGGGTGTCTGCAGTTAAATTGGCGCAATCTTTACCTTCCGTTTGCAAGCGACCACGATGCAGTCGTTCAACAGCGATCGAGGATTGACCCAAGTAGCATTTTGCAACGGAAAAATCGCGATATTTTGCTATTAAATTGCGATTTTTTACGATTTTATCGGCGATAAAATCGCTAGGATCATCAACATCTGAGCGATTATCCTCAATCTTTTCGCGATTTTATTGCGATTATATCGGCCCGAAAAAATTGCGATTTTATCGGCCCGAAAAAATTGCGATTTTATCGCGATAAGATCGAGGATAAGCGCTGAGATGTTGATGATCCTAGAGATTTTATCACCGATAAAAACGCCAAAAAAAGGGGTTTACGCTGTTAGCTGATTGCCGTTAGGTTCAATCTTCAGGTCTTTTGACGAAGACGAGCGTAAAATCCCCGGAGCCTCCGCGGGGATTCGAACCCCAGTCGCAGCGGTGGTAGGCCAACACATTGCCACTATAGTCTATGGCCGCTATATGACTAGCGAGTGCGAATTGAAGCCTCTTATACATGGATCGGCGCTTCGCAACCTTACAACTTTTGTCATTGCGTTCACTGACACCGAGTTTTCATTGGATTTTCTTTTTTATTTTCCTTCCTCTGTATTTTCTTTCATGCCTTAAAATACGGTTGGTAAAATAATGTTCTATTGGTAATCTCATAATTCTGTCTCGGTAAAATTACCAATAATAGTGGGATGGCAAAGTTACCGATGGACCTTGGTAGATACGCCAACATTTTTTATCGACTGTGGTAGAATTACTGAGATAAAACGGTAAAGTTACCGGAAATTGATTACCAATAAAAGTGGTACATATTCCTACCTGAAAAAAAACAGTAAAAATACCGGTTTTTAGGTAAGTTTACCAGTCTCCCTTGGTAACATTACCAATAATTGGTAAAAAAAAGTGAGATGGAAAAGTTACCAACGGACCTTGGTAAAAACGCTGAGAATTTTTTCTCAGTGTGCGCGTACCTCCCACCATCCAAACCCCACGCCCAACCTCGTTTTGAATCGTTCTTACTCCTCCGCTATAGAACATCTTTCATAAGCGTCATTCATGCGTTATTGGGCGTTGATGAGAAATTTCAATTTTATCTCTACAAAATCTCGTTCGATGAAATCGAAATTTTTTTTGCAATATTTAATGCGATGAAATCGCATTTATCTCAATAAATCGCCGTCGATAAAATCGCGATTTTATTGCAATTTAATGCGATGAAATCGCAATTTACCGCGATCTTTTATCCGATAATATTGCAATAAATTGACGTCGATAAAATCGCGATACATTCTCCGATTAAATTGCAATTTATCGCGATCATATCTACTTAGGGACCGCGGCACGATCGCTAGCAATGCCGCCGCCGTGTACAGAGCCGCAAATCGGTCTACTGCGCGTGACAAAAAAAACAGCTGTTAACTCAGGTGACAGCACATCTATCATTTTCTACACTCAATGTTCTATGGATATCTATAAAAAATTAAAAAAAAAATAGGCTGTGCAGCCATTTGAATATCCGTAGAACAACCATAGAATATCTGAAGATTCGGATTCAGCTTGCAACCCTGGTGAAAAATAGATTCAGGTACCTATTATAAATTGGAGGTAGGTATGATGGTAAGTTATTGTATTAACTAATTCGCGAATTCCTTCAGCACGTTTTGTGATACCTAGATAAAATGTTATAAGAAGAGCATTGAGATATGCATTGAGATTAGGAAAGGACACTGATCTATATTATACAGCTACAAGCAAAATCTTGGGAGCACTATTTCTGACGAACTACCGGATCGACCGATTAGGATGATCCGTACATGTGTGTAATCTGTAATAGCTGTAGATGTGCAAGAAAGTATGAGACCCCGAACGTTTAATGTTTTAGAGCTTTTAAAGCTCATGGGACTCATGTCCAATGTTATAATAGCGTGAGAGATATATCGTTTCCGCTAGAAACGTCGAGGTGCGGGATTCTACCTGAGTGACTCGCATAAACAAATTTCGAGGGTTGAGGAACGGCGAACCCTGAAATGGGGATATCCCAAGGTTAAGGTCCAAGGTACACCCTTTAATTGTAATTGATCTCACAAATGAAAGCAACAAAAAATATGGACACTATGTTAATGTTTTAGATTTGTACTGAGCGCAGTGAGTCCTGCCGTTGTAGTGCCGACGCTTCTGAAGCTTCAAAACGAGGGCTACGGCGAGTCCAAAGGAATTGCGACAATGGTCATCGCCGCGTCAAGTCTTGATGACGTTGTTGCCATTTCGGCTTTTGGCCTTTGCCTCAGCTTGGTTCTGGATGAGAAAGGTAGGTCTAGTATTTGATGTTTCTCAAATTTCAGTGGAGAAACAAATTTCATTGCAGCTGCTCAAAGTTAACGGAATACTTACAGGGACGTATGTTAGTACACGCTTCAGCGCAGCGCTCCGACTCATGATCTTGTGCTATTTAACACATTCTTTGGAAATCTAAATCCACAATTTCAAACACAGATTTGCCAAAACTGCAACGAAATCCCGACATGCATTTGACAACGTCACAATGCCGGTCATATTTTCCTGCACCATTTAATTGCCACTGTAACGCACCAAGATTTTCCTTATACAATCGCCACATATACCTAGGCCACCCTCTCAATCCGAAATTTTTAACCCCGATTTTGCGCTATATGAGACCACTGTCGAAAGTGTACCAAAATTCCCATGTTCACCCTATTGAAAGTAGTGAGACCAACCAACTCAAGTTCCGGCTATAAACTTCACACTGGCTTCGACAGTTGTGTAAAAACAAATCTCTCTTAAATTAACTCCGCACACCAATTCTTTCACGAAAATTCCTCGGTACCTAAACAATCATATTTGGAACCCTGCTAAAGAATGAATGTAGTGCCAGGTATATGTATACTGAGGAGTCATAGTATAATATGATTTGAACAAAGAATCATATTATGATATCATTAAACTAGCATTATACTAGCATTAAAAAAGTTTTGCACTCAAGAGTGTAATTCTAGCGCCATATTGGCATTAAATCGAACAGCAGCATAACGAGCAGCACAAACGATCAGCAGTGCTATCCTGACATGTCATTGGTTATACATATATTCATTGGCATTATGCTATAGCACATTCCTAAATAACAATCATAGAATAGCAATACACTATCTATAGAATAGCATCGCTTAGCAATACACTATCGTTCTTAAAACGTCGGCCCCACGGAGGGTGGCAATGGTGAGAGGGGGAGGACACCAGACGCCCTGAGTCAACGGTGAGACTTTCGCTGTTCTCATCCTTGTTAAAGATACCAGATGAGGTACAGATACTTCTCGAGAATGCCTGAGTATTTTGATATGAAGCTGTGGAAAAAATAGCACAATTTTTAACCTCGTATTACTTATCAGGTAGGTATAAATATTAAAAGAAAGGTAAAATCTCTAGAAGTAAATCATAAAACCTTAACAAAGGAGAAGAAAAACGAGACAAAACCCCAGACGGGCTAGGGCCCAGAGAAAACGGGAACCGCACATTGAAGAGCACGGTAGGGTGTGTCTTATTTTTGGGTATTTTGATATCCGAAAAGCGCTACCTACCTCTAAAAAGTTTCTCTCTGGTGTTAAATTAAACATACTTTTTGAAAAATTCCAAAATTTTAATTTTCACCTCTCACCAGAGTCCAAGTACAAAGATTGAATTTACTTATGCATTTTCAAGGTGCCATTCAGAAGTAGTAGTAAGATGTTATGGCCCTTTGGACGAAAATTTCGTCCGTATTGCCATATCGTGCATTTTAAAGGCATAAATAGCCTCTGAAACATATTTACTGCGCCGCGCACGCAGCGCACACACCTTATATACCTGACGGCACGACGTGACGTCGCGTCGGTCCGCGGGAACCGTTGAGGAGTTTTTTTCCTTTAATAAGTAAAACGACCCATAAAGAAAGTGAGGCACATTAAAAACCATCATGCACACCAGGTTAATGAAGGGTATGCTACGGTGGTAAAACACATTTTATCAAAATATTTGGGTTTATTCAAACACGAAAGTATCACAAACACTACGAGAAATTGCAGGCTTTTGATTTTCTTTTCCAAGTTCACTTTCTTCTTGACATTTTGAGAAGTTAATAGCAAATCTTGATATTCATCCTCTTTTTTACTTATCGGTCGGCTTCATGTTTGCATGTGTCGAACTGCCCTTTCGGCGGAATTGTTGACCACATGTAAACTTTTTAGAACTTCCTTCGCCTTCAAGTAGTCAGGTTTATTGTCCCACTCCAAAGGTAAAACGAAAAGGAAACTGTCTGGAATTTGTAAAATACTGAAGAGCGTTTTGCTATTCGTTGCAAAAAGATTGGGTAGGCTGGGACATTCCTAAGCATAAATTGGTAGGTAATCGATTAAGAGGATCAGGAGGACCATGATTTTTCGTCAAATTGAGGATGCAAGTTTTTCTTTCCTCTGTGAAAAGTCGCATATATATCAAATAGAGACAAAAGAATTATTGATTACTGAATTACTAAGAAAACCATCACACCATTTACGGTCCCTTTGTGGGACTCCAGTTCCGAATTAGAGTCCCACGAGGGGACTAGACCGTAAATGGTTTGATAGTTTTTTTTACCTTTTGAATGGTAACAATGTAAAATTCTTATATGGTTGTAAATTTCGAGACATTAAACTCTTTTTTATTGTTAATTAACCCTGACACAAAAGGTAAAAGATTATCATCTTTACTTAAATTAAATTTTTATAATTTTTTTTGACTATATTTAATTATATTTTTTAGAAATTCAATTTTAATTAATTTTTAACTTTAAATTAGTTAATTAATACTAGTGTAATAAATTGATTATAATAAAGACAAAGATAATTAGTTTAATCATTTTATCAGTGTAATTGATATACTTTTATTTAGTTATTTGTCTTCTTAAAGATTAGATCTTTTTAATCTAACTTTAATTTGACAAATTAATATTATTAAGGCTATTATTAAGGCTTATTTTTAAGGCTAAGGTGACAGCGGTGCTATCAATTTTTTTTGTAATTATGTAGGTATATTAATCTGTTTATATGTATTTTTTTTTTTTTTTTTTTTTGGTTTATCAGGCACTTTATGTATTAAGATTAGCAAGTTAGCCAATTCTAAAATTGCATTTTAGTGCTACTGTTTAACTATTAATAAAATATGAATGTTTGAGCTTTTTCAACTAATCTCAAGGGTATATTGGTGTTTTATATTTTGTTTTTGGTGTTTGGAGAGGATTTATTGGAACTTCTCTCAGAATAATTATTCGTTCTGAGCTCGCAAACATTGGATCTTCCGCAGTAAACTAGGGGCGCGCCCCCTAGCCGCTACGCGGCCCAACCCCCCACGGTTGCTTCGCGCATCTAATGTACAGGTATAAATAGCATTAAGATCGTGATGTGTTTTTACTATGTTTAAAATGAGATAATTAAAAAAAATAGAAGAGAAACAAAATAAATGGTACGTAATAGTGGTACATAGAAAAAATAAGACCCGAGTAAAAAATTCAACAAAAAAAAAACAAATTAGATAAGTGGTGAAATTAAAAAATAAAATAAATGTATAGCTCCAACAAAAACAAAAAACAAAAATTAAAGTATAAAATCAACAAAAAACAACATAAAATAAGGGGTAAAATTTAAAATAGCGATAGAAATTTATAAATCAAAAATTTCTGGCCAAACTTCATTATGTATCACATTTTCAGAATTATTTTCCCCTGCTATTTTTTGAATTTTTATTCCATATTTTGATGTGCATCGTGATGATGCAACATAAAGTTGCCCATGGCTGAAAAGGGGTCGATTTACGTAGAGCCCAACTTGATCAAAACTTTGTCCCTGAGACATATTAATTGTCATTGCAAACGCAAGTGCAATTATAGGGAACTGCGTCCGGTGGAGGATGAAAGGTAAGCTGGTGCTTTCTCCAGTGTCTAATTTTACTCTAGGAATAAAAACAATATCATCAGTATTGACTCCGGACATAATTCGTGCCGCGATAATATTCTTATGTAGTTTTACAATTTGTAAACACGTCCCATTACAAAGTCCAGTTTTAACGCTTAAATTCCCCGAAAACATGACAACAGCCCCTTCTTTTAGCTCCAATTTATGGAGTGGAAATCCAAGGAAAATTAAAGAATTCAAATACTCGGGCTGATAGTTGAGCTGTAAATCCTCCTCTCTTTGATCAATGCCCCTACTTTTAGCGACGTCTACGCTGTAATATGTGTGTTTGTTCCCTGGAATTTTGTTCAATACTTTTTGGTTGAGTATACGGACATCATCATTGTGGCAAGCTAAAACAACTTTTTTACTGAGATCATCCTCTGGTGAAATATTTGGACCGTAAATGTCGGTTATGTCGGAAGCTAACCTCTTCCTGCAATCTACTTCCAGCGCAGGATAGTGTACATATAAATTTGCCCATAGTGAGATGCGTTGTTAGAGCCGTATAATGTAGTTGGCGCGATATGGTGCCGGCGGGTGCCAGAGCGTGTGCGGCGGGAGGGGAGCGGGGAGTGGAGGGGAAACCGAGCGTTACACCCTTGGCGTGACACCCTCAGCGTGACACCCTTAGCGTGACACGGTGCGCTTATGATTTTATACTAGGTATAGAGTAAGATGAACTTGTATACAATGTTGTGGTAACTTCTCATGCATTTAATAATTTTTTTATAACTATGCCTTTGGCTATCGGTGAGTTTGGTAATGGACTTGTTCATTCAAAAGTTGGTGCTTTCCCTCGTATTTGCGGCTTTTCACAGAGGAAAGGGAAACTTGCATCCTCAATTTGACGAAAAATCATGGTCCTCCTGATCCTCTTAATCGATTACCTACCAATTTATGCTAAGGAATGTCCCAGCCTACCCAATCTTTTTGCAACGAATAGCAAAACGCTCTTCAGTATTTTACAAATTCCAGACAGTTTCCTTTTCGTTTTACCTTTGGAGTGGGACAATAAGCCTGACTACTTGAAGGCGAAGGAAGTTCTAAAAAGTTTACGTGTGGTCAACAATTCCGCCGGAAGGGCAGTTCGACACATGCAAACATGGAGCCGATCGATAAGTAAAAAATAGGATGAATATCAAGATTTGCTATTAACTTCTCAAAATGTCAAGAAGAAAGTGAACTTGGAAAAGAAAATCAAAAGCCTGCAATTTCTCGAAGTGTTTGTGATACTTTCGTGTTTGAATAAACCCAAATATTTTGGCTAAATGTGTTTTACCTCCGTAGCATACCCCGTCATGAGCAGAAAACCAGTGGGTTTTATGAG